ATGTCGCTCTCTAATTAAGAGGGCTCTGCTTTTCCTAGTCACCCACACCACTTTAATAACACACACAAAATGAGACTTGGCTCTAGGAGCTAAAGGTTCTATTAGGAGGCATGTGCAGCGCGCAGCTGTGGCGGCGTGCACATCAGTCCGTGAGTGATGCTGCCCCGGTAAGCCTGCTAACACCTTCAGTTCTCCCTCAGATGGAGAAGGGAAGAGAGCCATTCAGTCGCTCTCAACGACAAGAGCCCTGTTTGACTGACAGGCATCTTCCCGGAAAGCCTGTGCGTGCCTCCACTGCAAATCACACGCTTTCCCACGGCACCTCTTTCCAGCTAGGAAGGCTCGGTGTGGGTTTGATCCTTAAAAAGTAACTTTAATAGGGGTTTTCGTAAAAATGAAAGTCCGCGGAAACAAATCTTCCTCTTAAAGATGGAGAGCAAGACAGGAACAGGGACACACGCACACACAAGCACCCTAACTGCTGGTTAAAGACTCCAGCATGAGACAAAAGAATATTATTAACATCACGGCTATAAAGAAGGATGTTGCCATCTTCTAAATTGACTGCTGGATTCCTGAAACGTGGCTAAGCAAGACAAACCATTTTGTGCTTAATTAGTGGCTCCTTTATGGAAGGTTTGCTGCTTGGAGAGAGCCCATTAGAGGAGGAGAGCTCATTTACACGGATGCACCTTATAAAGCGATTCAGATTTTAAATAAATAGTGGAGAAGGAAATTCGTGGTGGTGGTGGGAGTAGTGATGTTATGGAAGCATAAAAGATTCTGCAAAAGACAAGCTTTGCATTACAAGCCTAAGTGCTGAGGGGATCAGCTTTCCTAGGCAAACACATAAGCCTCTAAAATTTTAGGCCAATAGAAACGACCTCTGTACCATGGCTGACTGAAGATATAAATAAACTTCAACATGAACAGCAGTGTCAACGGTGAGAGGAGATGAGAGTCCAATTGGGGCTTATTTTTAAGAAGTCCTGGTTGTTCTGCCTCCATTTCAGGGCAGGGCGTTCAGAGCACAAAGCTCCTGCTTCCTGCAGTGAGTGCTCCTGCTGGAACAGGCACCAGCCCTTAGGTTACCTGACCGTTGAAAGGAAGCCGCACCACACACAAGTTAAATATAGGTTTGGTTATCTGCATTTTACAAGCACCGAGAATGTGAGCCGAGGAAGCTGTCATTTTTAATGACAGCACAAACTTCCAATTACCAACTGGGTAATACACTAGGGAGCAGGTACGATTTTATAATGGCTCACAATTATGAAAAGTTTACATGATCACTTTTGAATTGGATATATAAATATTTCTCATGAGGCAGGTAGGTTTAAGTTTTTCACATGGTCTATCGAAGGCTGAAAATAAAGATTCTGTTTTCTTGAAAATTATACATTTTGAGACTTATCAACAGCTAAGAAAGGAGGAGGGGAGTGCAAGGTGACAGCCATTAAGAGCCTGGCAATGCTGAAAGGCTGTAAAAATGGCCTGGTGGTCGGTTGCTTGGTTGGTTGGTTGGAAGTCTCAAATACACCCACAAGTTCACTGGCAAGTCAGAAACTCTCATGACAAACTCAGTACAAGAGTTAGGAGTCTGGCAATAGATAACACAAGTTAAGACCCTTTTATACAACCTGTGGTCAAAGATAATTCACATAAGGAACCCAATTTCCTTTGGTGCCTTCTACCCAACTTCCATGGCACTGAAAGCTTCACCTGTCAGTGATAAATATAGAATGACTGTTACTAAGTGTTGGCTTGAGTTCTTCCATATAGACCAGACAGCCCCAGACCTAAATGAAGGCTACAATTTGTGAGTTTAAAATCATCCAATTCTTTGTAAGGTCTTTCCTGACTGACTCCAGTCTTCCAGTGATCTATCAACTGAATTTAAATTTCACTGTGATATGACTACTTAGCCCCAAGCCTTGATCCAAATACTCCACAGTTCTTGAGGACAGGTATCTTGATTTAAAATCACCTACCAAGAGCTGAAACAGGTCAGTGAAAACACGTGACTACATACTTTTCTCAATGACTTAATTAAAACTGTCATCACAAATATAATTAAAAGATTTAATAATCACTAATAGCTTTAAAGAATCAGGTTGATTTATACAGCAAGTTAAATGTGTTCTTAAGAAGCCATTTCTGTCACACTGGTGGAAAAGAAAAAGGTTTAGGCCTCTTCACAGCCACAACCCCCATCAGTGTGGTGGTAGGATGAATCTGTCTATGGCTCCAAAGCCTTCCAGCGTTCCTGTCCCCTCTCCTCCCTGCATTCATCTACCTGCTTCTAACGGCCTGCTCAAATTACCTGCCAGCCCTTGATGGTACACAGGGTTAGAGGAGTTATCACTGGACTAAGGCAAAGGAAAAACAATCAGAGAACCGAATAGAACAAGAAAAAGCATAGGTTTTCACAGTGCCACAAAGTATAAACCCTCCTGTCCATCAAGACCTGAGTTTGTAACAATTAGAAAAGTATCAGAATTCAGCAAGAGTGGACTGGCTCAATTAAATTTACACATTCACACAGTCAAATACCACTTAAAATTATGCAGAGTTTTATCAAAATAGAAAGATATCCATCCTATAGTGCTAGGAGAAAAGTGTTACGAAATGATAAGCAGAGTATGATCCCATTTTTTATTAAATCTAGACTGATACACACATATACGTAGAAAAAACAGTCAGCTATACAAGTGGCTATTGCTGGTTGGTAGAATTATGGGTAATTCTGTTTTTCTTATCTGCAGATTGTTTTTGTAAAATGAACATGGATTACTTGCATAAGAAATAATGAATGGTCCAAAGAGTCCCTTTTCTATCTTTTTGATATATTTGCACATATTTATGGGGCATGTGAAATTTTGTTACATGCACAGAATGTGTGATGATCAAATCAAGGTATTTAGGGTCCATCATCTGAGTATTTATCTATGTGTTGGGTACACTTCAAGTTCTCACTTTTAGCTATTTTGAAAAATATAGTACATTGTTGTTAACTATAGTCACCCTCTCTGCTATTAAACGTTACAACTTATTCTTTTTGAGAAACTGATTATTTCCAAAGTGTTTATAAAAGCCAGAACTCTACCAACAGAATGGATTATAAGACAAAGAGCTAACAAACCAGGCAAAAGTTGGTGGGGTGGGCGGGGGAGAGAAATCCTTTTTGAGACAAGGAAACAATCAATTTACTAGGGGAATAGTGGCCTTCTAACAAGTGGAAAGAAGGAAAGGAGAAAAAACAACCTGTTTCATTTTCTATAAATAAAACCTTGGAAGGCACATTGCCAAAGAAACACAAGTCAATATAAACCTTTATATACTGGGCTGCCAAACTTCACTTTTGGACAGTATATTAATTATGTAGTCAATAACCACGGGTTTCATTAGTGTATTAAATACCACGATCAATATTATTTATACTTTTCGAAGACAGGCCACTCAGCAAAAAAAAAAGGGGGGAGGGGAAAATTTTTGACCCTGCAGTTCAAAAAAGTTAGAACAACACACTAGAGATTAGCAAGGCTTTAATGGAAAGCATAAAACACTGAAAATATGGACAGAAATCAGATTATTACCCTTTTATTTTCTTTCCCTGCCTCTTTCACAATGGGACTGGAGGGAATTCAAGAACCATTTAAAATAAAGGCGAAATGATTAGATTTTTTCCTAATTGCTTAACGCTGATGTCATGGTGTACGCAAAATAAACATTGATCTCTAAGTGAAAGATGAGAAATAGAACATGAACAGCCTTTCGAGGTAAACCGTATCCAAGAGAATTCTAAGAACTGTGGGCCAGAATCTATTTAGGCAACCCCCAGGGACCTAAATCTCCTAAAAGCATAAAAGTGGAGCCGATTTCTGAGACTCCTCTACTGGTGATCTGATTTTTTAGTAGGGAAATCTGTTAAACATCCTCCCTCGAGGGAACGCCTCCCTCCCTGCCCCCGGATTTCTAATCACACCCACGTAGATATGCTGGTCTTTGTCACTGGCCACTAAGGCTCGGTGCAATGTTCTCTAGATGCACCCTGGGACCATGGCTACCTCTCACTGAGTAGACGAACACGTGGGGAAAAGAGAGAATGCTGGGAGTAGCAGACATGAAAGACTGGTTACTGGGCTGAATGCTAGATTACCACTTCCCACGCACAATTTGTCAGTCCAGAATAGTGTTGAAGACTATAATTTTCTAGTCAATGCTTTATAGGCAAGGTCAGACAGAAAAGAAATTCCACAAAAATCGTTGAGGCCTCAGCCAGAGAAGCAAGTGTGACCCAGTTACCGTCTCCTGAGACTAGAGAAGGGGAAGGAGGAATGTGTCTGAACAATTAGTGAGCCTGAGAATAAGTCTCTCTGTGTCTGTTCTCAGGAATGGGAGTCAGCTTGTCTAGGGCTGGCTGGTTCCTCCCACAAGAGGACAGCTAAGGACAAAACTGATAGGATGTTATCACTCTCCATCTCCAAAAAGACTCCATATGCTGCATTTGTACAAATTAAAAACCAAGGTCTCTGGCTGCAGGCTGACTGCAACACTGCCTGGATTCTTAGAGAGAGATGTGCACCAAATGCCAAGCGGTGGGTTGCAGCAACCGGATAGATAATTAATATGATTAGGAACACACAGAGCAAGCATACTCTTGCTGACTGAAAAGCCCAGTAGCATAATTACTGTTTTCTTACTAGCTCACTGTCTGTACACATTTCAAAGCCTGGCTGGTGTGAGACTGCTGTGTAAACATCAATAAAATCCCAAAGTGCCAGATCATCAGCATCCTTGGGCACAATGGCTTTTTGTTTTTAGTGTTTTCGTTCATTTAAAGATGCATTTCAGGGTTGCAAACATTAGGAAGAATGATCTCCATGCCTTGGACTCATCTTTGAGTTTGTAATGAGTTAACATCTCCCCCAAGTGAACATTTATTATAGAGGCTAATTAATTGCTTTCCAGTTACAAGAACGCTTTGCATTCAAAGAAAGTAGGATTCACAAAGAATATATTGTTTATTAAAACAAAGTGAGGGAAACAAAGGGCCTCTCCCTTCAAACTCTTTTCTATTGAACATAGCTTTAGTCAAGAAATGAAACATACAAATGCAAGAAATATGTACAGGTAGAAAAAGTGTGCATTCACCACCAAAATGCAACATTAATTGAAGTGAAAACTAAAGCAATGCTTTGTTGTTGCCTGGATTTCCCTAGGGGACAGCAAGTCAATGCTTATCAGCCGTCCTCAGAAGAGACAATTTTGATTAATATCAGACCCATCTGACTCCGTCTATTAAACCCTGAAGGAAGGATATTCTTCAGATATAAAAGATATGCCTTTGATTAATAATTCTATCCTATTGCCATTCCAAGCATTAACAACTATGTAGCACCTCTAGAAAGAGAGTGCCTTTGAATTCTAGGAAGACACACTTACTAAAACACCCAGGTTCCCCACAGCCACTTCTCAGCTCTCCCCGCAAGAAGCAACCCAAGTCGTGAAGTTGTCACCACCGGGACAAACAAAATTCTAGTTACATAATTTATTTCACTGTCTGCAGTTAGGGTCAATCACTTGTGACATAATTCTTGCTTAATGATAATGAAGTCTTAATAAAATTAACAAAAGCCTGAAGACGGAGGGAGAGAGTAGTACTATACTACCTGTTGGCCGACCCCCTGGGCCTGACACAACTTACATACCAGCCATCCAGCACGTTTTCCTTTGCCTACCGATGGGTTCTGAGATGCACATAAGAGAGGAAATTGCTTAGAGTCCACCATAAAGAGGCTCTCTGCACTGTGTAGCTAAGGTGGGATTATCACAGAGGGGTGGGAAGAAATCGTTTCCATCTGGGATCTTTATTTGCAAACTTCTGCCCAACCAGTGCTGCTCCCCTCACATTACTGAGTTTCTCCTGATGTTTGTGATCAGCCTTCTGCCATATTCTCTGTAGTCCACAGGTTTCACGTCCATCACCGTGGCCTTAATTCGAGACTCATCCTTCAAAAAGAGAAAAGCAGTTTGTGAACCATAAAAGCCCACGGCATGGAGCAGTGATGACAACCCCTTTTGCTTTGGGGTTTCAGTGAGCCCAGCAGGAGAAAACACAGACACACTGGATTCAGAGTCCAGTAATTCCAATGAAGAAAACATGAGTGAGAGCCTAGTCCAGAATTCCTGAGGCTGGGAGAGTGGACAGATCCTTTCCTCGTGCTCCCAAACACCCAGAAACCTAGAATCCAAATGGGGTGAACTTTAGAGGGCTCCTCTAGTTCAATTCCGGGTCAATAGGAGCCCGGAGAGGATATGTGGCTCGCCAAAGCCATACAGCTAGTTCTGAAAGCTGAACTTTCATTTCAAGAAAAACTGAGTTGTTGTAAAAGGAACAGCACCTGCAGCAGAGGGGAGGGCCTACTTTGGGTCCTATCTCAGCTCTGGGTGAGGCAATCTCTCTGCACTTCACCTTCCACGTCCATCCCACGAGGGAGCTGAAGGCCCCTAAAAATGCCCCCCAACTTTACCCCACTCCCTGACATTATACCACACTGACATTTGACCCCCTATCTCATTTAATGCATACAATAACAAGCACATCTATGAGCAGGTATTGAGGTTAAGGGCTGATAATAAAACAGAATGAGTAAACCCTACAAAAAGCAGGGGTGTTTTCAGAATTCTCCCTTTTCACTTGTACATTTACATCCAGGGACTGAATGCTACCTTTAGAGGCAGAATGGAGTGATGCCCAGAAAAGCTGCAGAGTGGAGCTCTGGGGTTCTCACACTTTAGCATGCTCAGCAGTTACTAAATCCAGTGATATTCACAAACATGGTATAGAGCAAAGCTCTGAAGTTGCACTGCCTGGGTTGGACTCATAGCTCTGCCCCTTGCCAGCATATGACTTTAGGCAAGTGACTTATTCTCCGTATGCCTCCACTTTTTCATTGGTACAATGAGGATAACAATGGTTCCTATACATAGGGTTATTACATGGATCGAGCGAGATAATACTTGTATGGTAAAGGATGTAGAACAGTACCTGACAGACAGTACTCAATAAATGCTGTTTTATTATGACTATATAACTACCTGACATTATGGGCAATTTAAGAAATTTTCAAGGTAATTTTAACTACATATGGTCTTTGTTTCATATACTGAATGACTGATTTAGAGACGGGGTCTTGCTATGTTACCCAGGCTGGCCTATAACTACTGGGCTCAAGTAATCCTCTGTCTCAGCCTCCTGAGTAGCTGGGACTACACCACCACATCCAGCTCATACACTGATTTTAGAACCTAGACCTGTGGAAGATGTGATTCTACACGTCAGTTTTTGTTAGAACACAGACAAAAAAACCCAGGTTTTAACTGAAAAGATCATATAGCACTTTTCCCCCAGATGTTTGGACAAGACACGTAACCTCTATTTCCTCATCTGAAAGTGGGGAAGAGACAATTAGTAATGAACACAGGGTGCTCAGCACTGGGTCAGGTATACAGTTGGCAATTCACTGACTGCTAATATTGTAATGTTGCTGTCAGCAACAAACAGCAATTTCCCACCACTAACCCTTCTGCCCGTGACCTTACTTACATTGTAGTTCTCTAGTTTGACCCTGATCCTGAACATGAAAGATCGAAAATTGGCATTCTGAAAAACTTCCTCAAATGCCTGTTCATTCTGCAAAAACAAATATAAAACTTTAGACATGGAAACTACTGGACAACTTGAAATTATTGATAATACTTCTGAAAAGACTTTGAGAAAATCATCACCCCAGTAGTTCGAAATTACTTAGGAATGACAAATCTATAGGTAACATTACATAAAACTGTTTAAGCAGAATTCTATTTAAAGTTAACACACTCTACCTAGAGTAATCAAATTCATAGAAAGTAGAACAGTAGTTGCCAGTACTTGGAAGAAAGCCACTAAGGGGAGTTATTTGTTTTGTTTTTTTTGAGACAGAGTCTTGCTCTGTCACCCTGGCTAGAGTGTAGTGGTGTCATCATAGCTCTCTGCAACCTCAAACTCCTGGGCTCAAGTGATCCTCCTGCCTCAGCCTCCGGAGTAGCTGGAACTACAAGTGTGCACCACCACATCCAGCTGATTTTTCTATTTTTTTTTTTTTTTTTTTTTAGAAACGGGGTCTTGCTACATTGCCCAGGCTGGTCTTGAACTCCTGGCTTCAAGTGATCCTCCTGCCTCCCAGCTTCCCCCCGCCGGCGGGGACAGTGCTAGGATTACAGGTGTAAGCTACTGCACCCAGCCGAGAATGTATTTTGTATAAATACACATAAAATAAACTTATCAGCCAGGTATCTTTGCAAGTCACATGGAACATGAAAACAGCTTAGTTATACAGAACTCTTTTTTGTAAAGGTTACTTGACCAAAACAAAAAAAAAATACCCCCTGGACTGTTAGATATGTAAATAAAACAACGTATTAAACCTTCAGAAAATTATACCAGCTGCCATTATTCTTCCAAGACTGGGGAAAGCATGAGTGCAGACTCCAAGATCTCATGGCTCCTTGGGGAGGAGTATCTATATGTCCTAATTCACCAGCAGTAAAGACAGTCAAATATAATAAGCTCATAAAAATCCTGAAAGGCTGACTTGAGCCTTAAAATCTGATGTGAAAATTGAGGACCAGGCAAAACAGACACAAGAGTCTATCACACTTAAAGTCAATTCCAGTTATTTCTGTAAAAGGACTTGCTGGGACTACTTTCAGAGATCTCATGGACAATTTAAAAAGAAGGCAGGGGCAGAACCAAACAGAACTGAGGATTGGAAAGAATAAGAAAAATGTCAAAAAAAAGGCAAATTCTTTTATATTTGTGAACTATACAAGTATTCCAACCAATTTGGGGGACACAGAAAAAAACCTACCTATAGACAGATGCCAATTTACGTGGCCCAGAAAATACAACTTTTACTGGTCTTCTTTATATGTTTTATCTGAGAAACTATCTTTAGCATAATTAGTAATCTATTCTCTGCATTAAAAAACCTAATATGTGATGAAAATGCAAATTTATAAAAATGAAATGGATAAAGTTATCTTATGAAAGAGTCACTTCATAAGAATTACATCTAACAGCCTAGAAGAGCAAGCACTGTGTATGTGCATTTAAACCAGGATTTGACTCAACTTTTCTGGAAGGTGTTTGTTATGTTAAAAAGGCACACCTGTACTTTAGTTTCCAGATTGCGAATGAGTGCAGGCACACCAGCTCTGATGTGATAATAGGAATGGCTTATACCTGTAAAGTGCTTTGGTTTTAAGGCACTTTTATATACACTATTTCATTACCTGATTGCTAAACACATCCAAAATGGACAAAATTAGATAAAACCAGATAAGCTCTTAAATAATCATCAAACTGAGAAACTGCATACAACACCCCCCAAAAAAAACAAACCAAAAAATATTAAACAGGAAAAAAGAGGTCAGCGGTATAGCAGGAGAACTATTACAGTTATAATAATACGTGGCTGACCTTGTCTTTCAATTCCCCCAGATAAGCAGTGTTTTGTCCGAGGATGGCTTCAGCAGACTCCTGGAAACAAGTCACCCACTGATTCTCTTGAAAATCTGCAATATTTACCTAAAAAACACAACTCTATTATTTCAGCAAAGAAATAATTAAAGGAAGATACACTAAGAAGACTGGGAGGTTACCTTTTTCTACTCATTAAAAGAATTTATAGAGAAAAAAACATTATCATTATATATACTATAATATATATTCTTTCTAAAGAATATGAACATATCATAAAAAGAAATTTAAAATGTAAGTCTGGATCACAACAGGAATGCCCAACTGAATTCTCCTTCAGATGTGGAATACAGGCACACAAGACTCAGTTCCCCTCCAGATGCAATGAGCTTCGTACTGAAGGTTTTGAGTAAGTCTCTAATAGGGCAAGTTCTCTGCATGTTGCATTGTATATTCTTCAGTCAGTAGGAGGAGCTCCCTGAGACGGCTCTAAGTCACTGCTGACCAAACCAGACAACTTCGGAGCCTGCACTAGGGCCAGTCACCAATTTTACCCAGCAACAGAAACCAGCAATCTAGTGTCTCCAGTTGGACTATGGTGTAAAATTAAATAGAGAGTTGAGGGAGAAAGTAGATCTCAAAGAATCTAATTGCTAAAGTAAAAGACTTAGTTAGAAATGAGAGCAAAGTTTTTTTTTAAGGCATCATTTTGATATTTTACAAATTCCTTTTGCATGTACATGAGGCTTTTAATACAGAATGTTATAATGAAAAATAAGTGACAAAAAATTAAAAGCACTCATAAATACACAGTAATGGTATCACATACTGGGACTCACACTTCTAGCTTACACCACGCTATCCTTCTAAGAGACACAGAGCATCTCACCGTACAGGGCAAGAATCGCAATGGTGCAGATACACCATAAATGTCGAATCAAATGAGTGTGCAGGAGCTCCCATTATTTAGGAATTTATCAGAAAGGTTCATGGAATAAAGTATCTAAAACAATTTCCTTCATCTTATTCAATGAAAAGTTTATAGTTTACAAGAAATGAGAAGCTTAAATGTAGAACTTTTCTGCTGAACTAACATTTTAAAGAACAATTAGAAAGTAGAATGGGTAGGTGGTATCTTTTTTTTTTTTTTGAGACAGCATCTCACTCTGTTGCCCGGGCTAGAGTGTTGTGGCATCAGCCTAGCTCACAGCAACCTCCAACTCCTGGCTCAAGCGATCCTCCTGCTTCAGCCTCCCAAATAGCTGGGACTACAGGCATGCACCACCATGCCCGGCTAATTTTTACTATTTTTAGTAGAGATGGCGTCTCACTCTTGCTCAGGCTGGTCTCAAACTCCTGACCTCAAGCCATCCTCCTGCCTCAGCCTCTCAGATTGTTAGGATTACAGGTGTGAGCCACCTCGACCAGCTGGAATCTTTTACTTTTTTGAATTTAGGAAAATTTCTTTAAAATTTCCTACTATAAGAGTATTTGGTGAAGAAAAAAGAAGTGGAAAATACAAAAAAATATATAGAAGAAAATAAAAATCTACCAGAAATAACCGATACAGGTGGGTATTCATCCTCCCAGTCTGTTTTCTGTGTACAGACACCAAGAGCATATAAAACATACCAATTAAAATTTGCTATTTTCAATTAATGAAGTCTGAGTATTTACTTTACTTACATTGCTTAATAGTCTTAATTAGCAAAGGTTTTTGAACATTTTAACTGTGGAAACTGTCAAATAAATGGCAAATTCTGAGGCCTTCATAGTCTTCCAAGGATATTCAATAAAGCAATCAACCAATGGAATATGAAGGACATTTAAACTGTATCCAATTTTTCAAAATAAACAAGTCTAGTAGACAACTTCATACAGATGTTAAGATCTCTGATTATTTCCTTAAATACCCTCCAGGTGCTTACTGTGTCAGAAAATATAAACTTTTTTTTTTTTTTTTTTTTTTTGAGACAGAGTCTCACTGTGTTGCCTGGGCTAGAGTGCCATGGCATCATCCTAGCTCACAGCAACCTCAGACTCCTGGGCTCAAGTGATCCTTCTGCCTCAGCCTCCCAAGTAGCTGGGACTACAGGCATGCGCCACCATGCCCGGCTAATTTTTTCTATATATTTTTAGTTGTCCGATTAATTTCTTTCTATTTTTAGTAGAGACGGGGTCTTGCTCTTGCTCAGGCTGGTTTCGAACTCTTGAGCTCAAACAATCCACCCGCCTCGGCCTCCCAGAGTGCTAGGATTACAGGCATGAGCCACCGCACCTGGCCGAAAATATAAACATTTTTAAGACTTCTGATATATTACTGCCAAATCATCTTCTAGAAAAATGTAAGAGTGTCCATTTTCTTGAACCTTTATCATTTAAGTACTATCTTTTTTTTTAATCTTACACCATTCATTTTAAAGGTTTTTCTTTTCTTTTTTTTAACAGGGTCTTTCTCTGCTGCCCAGACTAGAGTACAGTGGTGCCATCATAGCTCACTGTGACCTCAAACTCCTGGGCTTAAGTGATCCTTCTGCTCCAGCCTCCTGAGCTGAGACAACAAATGTGGGTCAACACACTGGCTAATTTTTAAATTTTCTGTAGAGACGGGGTCTCGCCATGTTACTCAGGCTGGCCTCAAACTCCTGGCCTCGAGCAATCCTCCCACCTTGGCTTTCCAAACTCTAGGATTACAGGTGTGAGCCACCACGCTCAGCCCATTTTAAAGGTTTTTAAAACAGAAAGAAACAATTCTTACAATGCAGAAAAGCAACAACCTCACATTAGCATGTGGTTACATTCCTCTGAAGTCAGCTCTACTGAGTTTAGAGGTATAGATTATCCACAAGAAAAATAACTAAATATAGGCATCAGCAGTATAATTACTGCCTCTAGAAAAGACAGTTCAAATTAATTTATCTTCACAACAGTTAGCAGGTGAGTACCACCAATGCTGTCATTGTACAACATGCACAGAAGACTATAATCAGCTGGGGGGGGGCGGCGGTAATCTCAACGTTTTTGAACGAAAAAAAAGCTTACTTTAGTAGGCAAAGCTAGAATGCTATGTCAGTTGACTGAAAGGCCCCTTACTTCCTTACTTAAAGACAATTAGTAAGCTCTTTAGCACTTAGTCATCTGCAAGCTTCCTACCATGACTGACCTGTTTCTGCTGTTTTTACAGTGCCTGGTACATGGGAGGAACTCAATAAAACCACACAGGTTCCCATTCTACTTACTGACAGGATCATGCGGTACTTGAAATTGGGAAATTCACTGTCACACTTCTCACAACGGTATAATCCATTCTGTTGATCAATCACTTTCTTATTGCAGTCCTGAGTCGGGCAGGCCTGGTACATACAGTTCTCTTTGCGAAGATACACCACTGTTGCCACCGAGCTAAAATAGTCTGCCTTTAGGAGAAAAGAATGACGTAAGACACAGAGCACAAGCCTACCTTTGGGATTGGACTTAGAGGCAGTTCAAGGCTTGCCTTTACATATAAGTGGTAAGTGTTTATAAAGTCTAACTCTCAAGATCACAAAGTGATTACAGGGAATAATTCACTCTGTAGTTTTAGAAATCACATGTGCTGAGTACAAAGCCCAGGAAGGTAATAAGCCAAGTTCTAAAGCATATAATCCCTTAAAAATAAAGGAGTTAATTCTAAATTAGACTGAGTTAATTAAAACAGAAGTTGTTTTCCTCTTTGTTTGAAAACTACTGAGAAGACAAAGACTTATTCCTACCGATCCTCTGATCCTCCAAAGAAAACAGATCTAAGAAACAAGAATAATGCAGACCACAAAAATCTAGTGCAGCTATGATCACTATTCCTTCCACATTAAAAACAACAGCAGTGATTTCTAAGGCCTAGCTAGGTTCACTTTTGACTTTGTTTAGGGCGGGGATCAGCAAGCTTTTTCTGTAAAAAGCCAAATAGTAAATACTTTAGGCCTCATGAGCCTCATGGTCACACAGTCTCTGCTGAAGCTACAGGCAGCAAACCTCACTGTACTGCACTCTGCTTTACTGCACTTTGTAGATACTGTGCTTTCTACAAATTGAAGGTTTGTGGCGACCGTGTCAAGTAAGTCTATCAGTGCCATTTTTCCAATAGCATGTGCTCACTTTCTGTCTCTGTGTCACATTTTGGTAACTCTCACAGTATTTCACACTTTTTCATTATTATTATTATGTCTGTTATGGTGGTCTATGATCATCGATCCTTGATGTTACTACTGTAGTTGTTCTAGGGTGCCACGAACCATGCCCTTGTAAGACAGGGAACTTAATAAATACTGTGTGTGTTCTGACTGCTGCACCAACTGGCTGTTCCCTCCTTCTCTCCCCCTCTTCTCAGGCCTCTCTATTCACTGAAATGCAACAATATTGAAATTTGACCAATTAAGAACCCTACAATGGCCTCTAGGTGTTCAAGTGAAACGAAGGGTTGCATTCTCTCACTTTAAATCAAAAGCTGGACATGATTAAGCTTAATAAGGAAGGCATGTTGAAAGCTGAGATAGGCTGAATGCTATGCTTGTTGTGCCAAACAGTTAGCCAAGTTGTGAATGCAAAGGAAAGTTCTTTAAGGAAATTAAAAGTGCTCCCCCAGTGAACACATGAATGATAAGAAAGAGAAATAGCCTTAATGCCAATATGGAGATGGTTTTAGTGGTCTGGAGAGAAGATTAAACCAGACACAACATTCCCTTAAACCAAAGCCTAATCTAGAGTAAGGACCCAACTCTCCTCAATTCTATGAAGGATGACAGAAGTGAGGAAGCTATATAAGAAAAGTTGGAAGCTAGGAGAGGTTGGTTCATGAGGTTTAAGGAAAGAAGCCATCTCCATAACATAAAAGTACAAGGTGAAGTAGTAAGTATTGATGTACAAGCTGCAGCAAGTTATCCAAAAGATCCAGCTAAGATCACTGATGAAGGTGGCTACACTAAACAACAGATTTTCAATATAGGTGCAAGACCCTTCTGTTGGAAGAAGATGCCACCTAGAACTTTCCTAGCTAGGGAGAAGAAGTCAATGCCTGGCTTCAAAACTTCAAAGGACAGGCTCTCTTGTTGGGGCTGATGCATCTGGTGACTTTAAGTTGAAGACAATAACCGTGTGAAGAATCCTAGGGCCCTTAAGAATTATGCTAAACCTATTATACTTTGCCTGTGCTCTACACATGGAATAACAAAAGCCTGGATGATAGCACATCTGTTTACAGCATGGTTTACTGAATGGTTTTAAGCCCACTGTTGAGATCTAGTGCTCAGAAAAAAAGATTCCTTTCAAAATATTACTGCTCATTGACAGTGCACCTGGTCATCCAAGAGCTCTGATGGAGATGTACAGTACAAGGAGATATATTGCTTTCATACCAGCTAACACAACATCCGTTCTGCAGCCCATAGATAAAGGAGTACTTTTGACTTTCACGTCTTATTATTTAAGAAATACATTTTGTAAGGCTACAGTTGCCATAGATAGTGATTCCTCTGATGGATTTGGGCAAAGTAAATTTAAAACCTGGAAACAATTCACCATTCTAGATGCCATTAAGAACATTTGTGATTCATTGGAGGAAGTCGAAATATCAACATTAACAGGAATTTGGAAGAAGTTTATTCCAACCCTCATGAATGACTTTTGAGGGATTCAAGACTTCAGTGGAGGAAGGAACTGCAGAGGTGATAGAAATAGCAAGAGAACTAGAATTAGAAGTGGAGCCTGAAGATGTGACTGAATTGCTGCAATCTCATGATAAAACCTGAATGGAGCCGCTTCTTAAGGATGAGGAAAGAAAGTAGTTTCCTGAGATGGAATTTACTCCGGGTGAAGATGCTGTGCACATTGTTGAAATGACAACAAAGGATTTGGAATATCACATAAAATTAGAAAGCAGCAGCAGGGTCTGAGAGGATTGACTCCAATTTTGAAAGTTCCACTGTGGGAAAATGCTATCGAACAGCATCATATGCTACAGAGAAATTTTTCATGAAAGGAAGAGGCAACTGATGGCTGCAGTCTTCCTTGTCATCTTATTTTAAGAAACTGCCACAGCCACCCCAACCTTTGGCAACCACTCATTAACACGGAAACAAAACCTACCACCAGCAAAGAGATTACAACGCTGAGGGCTCAGATGATTGTTAGCATTTTTTAGCTATATATATACACACACATATATATATTTATATATATATATATATATATACACACACACACACACACACACACATATATATATTTTTAAAGAGATGGGGTCTCCTATGTTGCCCAGTCTGGACTCAAATTCCTGAGGTCAAGGGCTCCTCCCACCTCAGCCTCCCAAGTAGCTGGACTACAGATGCACACCACTGCACCCAGCAACAATAAAGTAGTTTTAAATTAAGGTATGAACATTGTTTGTTTTAGACATAATGTTATTACACACTTAATAGACTATGGTATAGTGCAAACATAACTTTTATGTACACTGGGAAACCAAAAACTTCACATGCCTCACTTTATTGTGATATTCACATTATTGCAGTGGTCTGGAACTGAACCTACAATATCTCCAAGGTATCCTTGTTCTGAAGTTGTGGGGCAAGAACATCCGTGACAGTACGTATTTTTTTTTTTTTTTTTTTTTTGAGACAGAGTCTCGCTCTGTTGCCCTGGCTAGAGTGAGTGCCGTGGCGTCAGCCTAGCTCACAGCAACCTCAAACTCCTGGGCTCAGGAGATCCTCCTGCCTCAGCCTCCCAAGTAGCTGGGACTACAGGCATGCGCCACCATGCCCGGCTAATTTTTTTTTCTATATATATTTTAGTTGTCCGATTAATTTCTTTCTATTTTTAGTAGAGACGGGGTCTCGCTCTTGCTCAGGCTGGTCTCGAACTCCTGAGCTCAAATGATCCGCCCGCCTCGGCCTCCCAGAGAGCTAGGATTACAGGCGTGAGCCACCGTGCCTGGCCCATGACAGTATGTAAATGGAAGGCATGTGGCTGTGTTTCAATGAAGCTTCATTTACCACTGGCAGCAGGCAAAATTTGGCCCAGGGACTGGTTTGCCAACCCCTGGTCTAAGTTGTCAAAAATACCTACAAGATCTGTACCTTCAGAGAGGAGAAATCACTGATAAATAAACCTAGAGAGGACATGTGTTTGGGCTCTTTGTTACTCTTTGTTTTGCTTTTTAAACTCATATACAGAGGATCCCATATGAATAATTCTGGGGGGGTATGTTTAATACTACCAGAGAGCAATTCCCTCTGGGTGAACCCTGACTTCAGAGCTAGGTCAACAACCTCTGGGGCTTCCTAATGTCTCAGACCAAATGAGGCAAAACAAAGATGTGGATGTTTAAAGAGCTTGGGCTAGCCCTCCAGTTTAGAAGGCTCTAGATAAAGTAAGTGTCCTAGGACAATGCCTAAAGGGTTTTTCTATATTTCCAGGTTAGGTCCAGATTCAAAGCTACTTGAAAGTTTCAGTGTAGAAGGTATTCTCTAAGCCTGATTTCTTATGTATTGCCTACCTTTAGATCTAGGAGAGGAACTGGGTGATAAGAGAACCAGAAGAGTGGTTGTTCCTATGACAGGACAAAACAGATCTGCCCAGTGTTGAATTCTCAAGACATTATATAATAGCATTATAAGTTGCTGTTGGTGACAATGATGGATAAGGGTATATGGTGAAATGAGACAGTAAGGAATAAAACCTATATTGTATATAATAAAAATAAAAGAGCAGGGATTGCTATTTGGGGGAGCATAAAGGAAAAATAAATGATTTAAATATTGAACTGATGACAGAACACAAGTTTAAATCAAGATAGAAGGAGGGTCATTAAATATAAACACTGAAAGGAAAGCTGCAACTAAAGTCGAATACCAGAGCCAATCCTTGTCAGAGAATACTGGCGACTCTCCGTCTACGAGAGGTTAATACACTGTACGCCACAGCCAGGGACAGTACACATGAACTGCATGATGTCTGACACCGAGTCTGACCAATATTCATCTCAAAAAACTTCTTGATATTTGGGCACTTGGATTTGCAGGAACAATCACAGAAAAGAAATATGGACCCAAAGGCCGTTCATGTTACGACACAAAGCTTGGTTATTACCACTTCTTCAAGATCCCTCTAGGAATCAACTCTCTAAGAGTTCGTCACACTGTCCTGCCCCAGCACACCTGAGGGCTACAACACACTCCCATTAGGACACTTGGCTCCTTCACTCTGGCAGTGATTCAACTATCACATCATGCTCTGGTCAGAGTCCCACGTAAGAATTACAACTCTGAGTTAACATTTGACAGCTGGTATCAGAAACCAGGTTTCCAAACTCATCCTTTGTACGCTTTACATGCTTTTGTGAAGAAAGGAATGTCAGATACCTTGTCACCTTGGCCCAGGTTCTCTGCTTTAACCTCATATAAAGTTTTCCAGTTGGTGTTGCTCCCTCCCACTCCTCCACTCTTGAGATCAGAGATGGAAACACCATCTAAGGCTTGTCCTTCTGAGTCGAACCTGAAAAAATAAACAAATAATGATGACACGCACTTGACACACTTCTCGAACGTGCTACTTGTTTCCGTTTGCCAGTTGCAAGCTATCCACCACCCACCCAGCTTTCAGATAGGTCGTGATCATGTGGGCTGAAGTTAGTAACTTCCTAAGTATAACTGAAGTCTACAAAGAAACTAAATGACCTTTTTTTTTATCTCAATTGCTTTGATGCCCCCCAGTGGTCAAGACAATCAGTGCCAAAGCACCACAGAATCTTGTTTTAAATCAGCCTTGCATATCAACAGTGGCCAGAGGGACCAAGGCCTAAAGACAGAAACCAGGAAAGTGAACAACCAAAAAGCAACAATGTAGACCTCTGGTATAGTCCTCTGGGCAACTAACGCTCATTCTCGGTCAGCAGCCGCATTTTTATCATAACTGAAATATATCAGGATGGAAAGGGACAGTGAACATACTGCAATAGGCTAGCAAAAAACATTTCCATGGTGAAAGACCCTTTTTTTTTTTTGAGACAGAGTCTCACTGTGTTGCCCAGGCTAGAGTGCCACGGCGTCAGCCTAGCTCACAGCAACCTCAAACTCCTGGGCTCAAGCGATCCTCCTGCCTCAGCCTCCCGAGTAGCTGGGACTACAGGCATGTGCCACCATGCCCAGCTAATTTTTTTCTATATATTTTTAGTTGTTCAATTAATTTCTTTCTAATTTTAGTAGAGACGGGGTCTCGCTCTTGCTCAGGCTGGTTTCGAACTCCTGAGCTCAAACAATCCACCCACCTCGGCCTCCCAGAGAGCTAGGATTACAGGCGTGAGCCACCGCGCCCGGCCTGAAAGACCTTTTAAGGCTGATACAGAGTCCAAAAGATTATATAACCCAAAGTAATTCATCAGGAGGCATTATCCATTTTCTTGTAGATTTACCTTCTTAGCGAGATTTTACTTATGCCAATATTAAAGTTAAATTAATCTGTATTAAATTATTATTAATATTGATTATATCTCTTGATCACAAGGAACATGTGACAGAAAGGAGTCAGCCTGAGATTAAAAACATGCCAAATGCCGTCCAAAAGGTGGATAACTAAAAGCAAACCACACACCGAACAGGCTCCTTAAAAAGAGACCATCTACCAGAATGGATGTTGTCCTAGGCTGTAGACAGTTGCCTTCTTATTCTGTCAGGTAAGCAGCAAAATCCCTCACAGAGGCACAGCAAGCTCCATAAATCTGTTTCACCACTACTAGCTACACAAGTTTACGGATTCAAGAACTCCAAGGAGACACTGACCACCAAAGACAGCTCACCAGGAGTGAGCATGGCAAGGAGACAGGCAGCCCTTCTCACAATAAAAATTCTACATTGTTACAGCCAAGATCTAAACCTTTCTAATCTTGTTCAGGTGGGGTATGTGCACTGAACTTCTCTTTGATCAATGCCAAGTCCCTTTATTCTGGGGACAGCCATGTCTTTTTGTGTGGGGATCATCACTGTTGACAAGTAAAATATGAAGACCTTAATGTAGGCATGCAATTAACCTGGGGTTGAGCTCCAGAGCCTGAAAGAAAATCGAGCAGTAAGAACAAACCAAAACTCCAGTTATTTCTGGTCAGACTATTAATGGGCCCTGCCTTACTGTGCAATGCCAGCTAGAGAGCATTTAAATAGATACATGTGCACCACACCCTTGAGGATGGCTTAAGTGACATGAACACCTCAGGTGTTGCATGAAACTATTCAAATACTAGCGCCACTAGTTCACAAGAGACTCAAAACAAAGGAGGAATATGTAATATGAGCTGTTTCTTGAGTCACTTAAACCCTAAGACACAGTTGGAAATAGACATATTTTCCCCTGTATAGCTATAGTATAGTATAGCTATACTAATTATTTAAACTTGGGCTAGTTAAAGTGTTTTCCCTGACCACTTCAATTCTCGCATACCGTGTTTCAGTTTGAAGTGTTCTTCTAAGGCAAAGTTTTAATGCCCTAAAAAGCTAGATATAAAAAGCTAGATATAGCGAGGAGATTTAAACAGGCTCTCCTCATCCCTTGAGTGCTTTGGGAATAACAATATAATCCCAACAAAAAGCCCATTGTTCCCACCACACTTTATCAGAGTCCAGTGAATACACACTAGAAGATGTGATCGGCACCAAAGACTTGACAGAATAAGAAAGCGTGTACTCCCCCCACCACAGAAGCCCACAGCTTAACCGCAGGAAAGAAAGATGCCTTCAGCTTAGAGTCCTTCAGTGCACACAGCCGCTAAAGCCTGGGCATACCCTGTGTTGGCAGGATTGAGGTCAGCATGCAGCACATACATTCTAATTGCCTCCTCTGACTCTCCAGGTTTGTCATGGGATTACAGGTTTGTCAGTTTAAGGGCTTTAAAGCCATCCTCTCAGAAGGCCAAATGCCTCCGAGAAATACAGGAACTGCTCCATTCACTAACGAATCCTTCTGCTTGGCAGAGAGCTCACATACTGATTGTAACCAGCTCTTCTCAAAGCCCAGGCTCAAATAACCCTTTGTTTAGCCCCACAAAACCTACCATCCACGAAGTTTATAGGCCTCTGGGATGTCAGGATTCACAATGATAGTGCTTGAAGACAGTACAGAGAGGCTCCGTCCACCAAAATCAGAAACTCTGGCTCCTTTGATAGCCATCACAGGCTGTCTAGAGCCATCAAATCTATCAGCCTGTAAAACAAACACCAAACATATACGAGTGTCACCGGCAGGAAGAACACAGAACATTTTTATAGAAAACAAGGAAAACAGTCAACAGTAGAATAAATTAATCAATGTACATGAAATTTATACAAGACAGACTTCACACACAAGAATCTGCTCAGAGACACATCAAAACTAATCTATCACTACTTTCCTAGAGTTAGAGGAAAGAGCATTTCACTAAATAATAGCATTGCCTGATGACGCAAATCTCACAGAAATAAAATAAAGGCTTTCGAATATTCGCTCAATAGCACCCTGCACCAGCTACATGCCAAAGCCCCGTAACCCAGAGGACAAGACAACCCTGAAGGAGCTCTTTCCATACAGGCCGACTGCACGATGCAAGTACTTACATCCTCCCCCCACAGAGTAGCAGTCACCACTTTCCCTGAAGTGTCCATCAGATAGATATTTCTCTTAGCAACCTCTCTGTTGTTAGACTTCACTGTGATTTTAGTGGCATCGTCATAGCTCTTGCAGATCCCGATTATGTCTAAAACACACGCACAAAGTGTCAGCAGGAGACAGTGAAGGCTCCCATTACAACACGACCAAAGGCTGAATGGTAAGCACTTAACTCTTATTCCTCCCCTATATACCACAAAGAAAACTAGTAATCACCACTCTGTTCTCATATGCAGACTTACCTATAAGTGAGTCTTTGGGCTTGCTCTCTAGGTCACCAATCCCTGTGAAATCAAACTGAACTGTAGGTAAATGATGACCATCTTCACAGGGCATGACAGTGGTCTCATTATTGAAGGTCATCTCATAGTCATTTTTAACAGCCGTGAATTGTTTGTTAGCAATCTTCAGGGTACCTTTCGAGAAATAATACACCTGCCAAGCCACAGAATGTGGGATAGTTATCAAATTGGACATAAAAAGCCTCTACCATCACACCCGTCTCCGTTGGACCAGAGTCCCATAATTCTCACTTCACCATTGGACAGTGTCAGTTCTGAAATCAATACTACCACATACCTTGTTCACTTCAATAAGGGGAAAGAACTTGTCCACTTGCTCATTGAAAGCTGTAGCTCTGATTTCACCCTGCAGAAGCATGGGAGAGTAGGTTAGGATGGTGGTCTTCAACATCAAGTTTGACCAGTAAAACCCAGGCCACTTGAGCATCAAAACGACACCCTTAGAGCAGCAGCACAAGCACAAATGGGCCCCACAGGGCCTACAGACATCTCAGAAATACACTTTATAGTCACACATTCATGTTATTAGCCAGATGAAACAAGAGAAGTTCAAACAGCTGATCCTGTAATCATGCTTTAATAACTTCAAGTTGGAAACTTAAAACAAAAACAACGAGTTTAAATATTCTGACAATAAAAACAAAAAAACTTTGAATATTGAGTGACACGACTGGAGCCCACGAGGAAGCACGATGAACCGAGATGATTCACCAGCTTCCCTCACGGCTGCGTCCTAAGTGATGAATTACTTCATATTTGGGAGTCACTGCCAAAGATGCTATAACAAGTCATGTTTTCAAGTTGCTTGTGATTTTTCACTTTTACTTTTCTGTCAGTCAAAATGCTACGGATGGATAAGAAAAATAAATGGCTGAAATTTTAGCCAACTGCTGTACATTAGACTGATAATTTGTAAGAAATTAGGTTCTGATATTGATTCTGCCATCGCACAGTCAAACATTTGGGGTGTTACAACCATTTGCTAAAAAAACAATAAAAAAAAAAAAGAAACTATCTTTTTCCGCCTTCTTGGAGGTTTCAACACATAGGAAATATGCTACAGTTTGAAAAGAACGTGTGAAGTATATCTTAGGAATTATAACAAACTAATGGACAGACAAGCAGCTATCAAGACTGTCAAGACTCCACAGCTTAGAGTTTTTTGTCTCATCATCATGGTTTTGTTTAAGTAGAGTGAATAGAGAATGTGCACAGCCAGAACCCATTTCCCACAAAACCATCCTCTTAGTGAGGTGGCTGCCGCAGGCCGCGTGCTGTGACCCAAAGCTGCACCTTGCTCCTGAGCAGATACTACATCCTAGGGCTTCACCTGAGCCTGCCAGCAAAGCTGACATAGTGTGTCTGGTTTCTCCTGCACATGAAGCTACTTATACATTTAGAAAACGAATGTCTACTGCTACAAATGCTTTCGTTTACAATCAAGGATTTATTTATGACCTTTAACTTTCTATCCCCACACAGCATCAAGTCTACAACACGGGGAAAACTGCAATAACAATCATGTTTCCTTCCAGCCCACTATTACTTTTCGCCTCATAGGCCTGCAGAGCTGATCCCTTTACTTCTCAATGAGTCCACTACTCCTACCTCCCCATTCAACAAATACTCACACTTTCATCCACTAGTTCTATAGAGAAAAGCTTCCCTTCCCCTCGGGAATTGCTCCAGGTACGGATCTGACTTTTGTTGGTTATACGAGCACAAATAGTCCACCTAAAAACCAAATAGATTATATTAGTGTTTGGAGTCTTGGAAAAGATCAGGTAAGAAATCATCTTCCTATGGCCTTTCTTATCCTATGCGTATTCCATTTTTCAACGTTACCTGTATTTTAATCCAGCTAATTAAAACCCCAAGATGACACATAGGTTTGACAGTTTACAGAATAAGCAAACAGTAAAACATGCAAGATGATTTAACACTAACTCATTCTCCTGTCAAATAAGTAAATTTATAAACTCTCTCCCTTCTCCAAAAGGCATCACCAAGGCAACAATATCCCTTAATGAAAGGTTCTAAGCTAGAAAATGCTGTAATACCAGCAATTACATTTTGCCACTATTTTCAGTTATGGGAACCGATATAACCAGTGTCAAACTTCGGTCTCGTTTCTAATGCACACTGAATATAAATACAGAGCTACATAGAACATGATGTGCGGGCCACCAAAAGAAAACACATTAAAGCAGTATGAACTTAGAGACCACTAAAAAAGGAGGCACAAGATCTAAGATGCAGTCTTGGTGCCCATCCTAAACGTAGGTGCTGGGCACATTAATTATAATTTCACAGGGGAAAGTATTTTTCCAATATTACAAAGTGCTGATGAATAAATAAAAACATACCTGAAAGAACTGTGAAAAAAAATTCACTAATTTTTAACTGCTCAAATTAATGTTTAAAAATTTTAAAAATTAATTTTTAATGCGAAAAAGTCATATAAAAGAAATACACGCTCAGGGTATATTAATGTGGTTAATCCAAACAGTATAGCTTATCTTAGCCAATTAAATCACAGACTAAAAGTCACCTATTTATATGACAAATTAGCACAAATATTATTAGCACAAATATTATTTTTACTCACAAGACTATCAACTAATTCTATAAGCATTAAATATTTTAAATTTCAAATTCTTTCAAAAGTAACGAAACCTCATAGTCTATGGCAGATTGCTATTGCTGCCATTCTTGTTGATAAAAGAGTCAAAGGTTGCTACAATTTGTATCCCCTCTGCCTCAAGGAAAAAAAAAAGAGGAAACCCATTCTATGTAGTGGTGACTGTGAAGTTCATGCATAAATAACTCCTTACACTTTTTTGTAAGTACACTCTGAACTTATCTTATACAACAACTCACTTGGACTGGTATGGGGTGAGGCTGGCAATGGGCACCACCTTGGCCTGTGTGCCCCCAGAAGTGCTCGAAAGGCTGGCACCTCCAGTTTTTCCAAATGTCTTTGAGGCACCATAAGCCTTAGAAACAGTGGAACCTTTAAAAACAGACACAAAGAAAAAGGACAATCATTATTCTAAGTGAACTTTTATAATAAGTTTTATAATAACTCTGAATGACTGAGGTGCCACGACCTGAAATCATACAAGATTGAGAGGCAAAGTTTTCCTTTTTAGTATCCAAGAGATACACAGATCAAACAGAGACTGAAGCAGGAGGCTAGAAAAGCAATCTAGAATGAAGGCTGGGCACAGAGAAGTTCACTATTATATTTGCTGACTTAAGGCCTGAGGTCAAGATAATAATGGTAATGAATCCAGACACTGCTCTTTCTGAGGTCCACCCTCTTAAATGTTTCTCTAATGGGTCAAAGAAAGAAAATCAACTTTCTTGACTGGTAAAACTTACCACAAGTCACTAGTCATACAAGAAAAAATGCAAAAGGAAAGGCTAGGAGGTAAGGGACCTAGTGGCTAAGCCATCTTGGGGTAAAGGATATCTATCACAAATATATTAATATTACCTCAAAATAGCAACAGAAAACTCCCAGTTCTCAACTAGTCTAGAGGACTAAGAAGTCTAGAAAGAAGTCTGTAGGACTGCGTTCAGTTGGGCGCAAAGGACAAGAACCAGTGTTTGGTCAAGATATGCAGGTAGCTGGCCACTATGACTCTTCTTCCTCCTTTAGCCAAACCTAAGCAGCTGCCCTGCTGCCTAGAGAAATAAAACCATTTAGTAGATGGGTTCCTTTATACGCACACTATATCTATAAAGCTTCAATCTCCAAATCCAGAAAATATAATTTAGTTCAATGATTTCATACCTTCTACACCAAAACATTTCTTGAGAATAGAATTTGGCTAACAATATAAATACATCATTTATCCAGTATTTATTTATTGAACGTCCACAGCATGTACCACACTCTTATAGGTATCTGTAGCACTTAGTAAAAAATATACATAAGTATGTCCCAGATTCTAAAATTTTCTATTCTAACTGGGAGTCAGGAGAGACCAATACACACAGACACAGTAATAATTACCCCAAGATTACGCAAGGAAGCACATGTGCTTTGTAAAATATGTGTGTGTATACACACACGTAATACATACTGTCCAATTTTATGAAACACACACACACAAGCATCCATTCATCCAATTGTTTCATGCTGCATGGGTTCCCCTCAGTACACATCATTTTCTTTCACCACCCAGTTTAGGGAACACAACTGATTTTTAAATGTCAACATAAGACAAAGACAGCCAGAAAAAGAAGTGTGTGGATGGAGGGAGAGAATAACATCCTATTTATATTTTGTCATGAGGAAGTGATTCCTGTTTACCATTTTAGATAGTCTATTCCACCATCCCTCTTCAACAATACATAATTTGAGAGCTGTATATAAATAGATCGACTTACAAAAGGAGACAGACAGATATTACAAGGTATATAAAAACAAAGACCAACGGGGGGAAAGTCATATGTCCTGAAAGTTTCACAGAAACATTAGTGACGTCTTAACCTTGCTTTTCCTAGAATCTCAGCATTGAAAAATAGAAACTAATAGTTGAGGGGAGGAGAGGAGGCGTATGTGAAGCTCTGACAGAAAAAAGGACCTCTAAAAATAAATTCAGCCACATTCTACAAATCATAATTTTCAATGGTTACTTCCCAGATCAAGAGGTTCCCATAGCAAAGGCCAGAAAGTAAACAAAATGATTCCATTAGGGCCTCTCAGGACCCGCTGCAGAGAAAGTTGAAAGAAGAAACTATTTCTCATCCACGAGACTGAAAAGCAGAACCTATGACCAATGTAAACGATACTGTCTTCAAGCAAACGAAGACTACTCATGAGGGCCCAAATGGGAGATGTGGAGAGAGACAAGCCAAATGTAGTGAGTGGATCCTAGACAGTTAACAGGCAAGAACTGAAAAGGCATGCAAATTCACAGGAAGTCAGAGGGTATAAAACCTAAAGATGTGAGAAACTACTAGATAAACTATTAACATAGAAGAGCATATCATTCTGATAACAAAAGAATGGTTATCGGGGATTGGTGGGAGTGGGGAAGGGAGAGTTATTGCTTAGTGGTACAGTTTCAGTTTGGGAAATATATTTATTGTTAAATATATTTAAAAGACTATCTTTAATCATTTTTTCAATTACATACTCTACAATAAGAATCAGAATTACTCTCTGCAAGATGCAACTCTGCCATGAATGGCATTTGAAAACTCCCTCTAGTCTCAGATTAAATTTCAAAACATTATTCAAAAGCCTGACGCACACGATAAACCCATGTCCTCATGAGGCAACCTTACCCATTCCCAAGCTCCCGTTCTGTGGCTGGGTCTTGCTGGTTGCTGGACTGGCTGCTGAGACTGGAGACGGAACTACTTGCTGCTGCCCATGTCCTGAAGATCAAAAGGAAAAGGCCATTTTAGTGCGAATAATTTGGGTTAAGAGATTTAAACTTAGGTAAAAGAAATACTATGGGAAAATGTGAAGTTTATTTTGTCAAGGACTCTCATGGGTCAGAATTCATGCTGAGGCATTCAATTGCATGCAGTGAATTTGCCAGGGGTTCATTTTTTGGTTTTGTTACACAAAAGGTTGCCTCCATTTACCTTTCACCTGCTTATAATTGATAGCTTTCAGTTTTAATGAGGTTTTCCCCTAAAGCCTTGCCCATTTCTCCTGCAAGAACCTGCAGTAAAGTCACCAGGCTGAATCTGTGACATTACCACTATTTCCATAGCAACAAATCGATGTCATCAACAGAACTGTGTTCACGGCAGGATCAATCAGAAGAAAAAGCTGGGTGGTAAGAAAAACCTAAAAGCAGTTCAATTGTCTCTGAAGTGCTCCTACTTCAAAGGACAAGGAGACATTCAGAAAGGATTCTCCCCTTTCCCTCCCAAACAAAGCAACCTTATTTTGCAACTGACAGTCGGTGGAAAATAAGAGTTGAAAGAGTCTTAGGTACCATGAAGTGCTAGTGAACTGTCACAGCAGGGTGAGATGAGAATGGAGTTCAGAAGCAGGTGTGTCAAGGAAACAGGAAGATTAAAAGGAAAGGAGGGGAAATGAACATGTCTCTCAAGCAGAAAATAAGAAATGCCATACCATGAGGGTATTTATTTGCCCTTCACCTTTTGTACAAGTGTTTATGAAGTTCAAGAATGTTAAAACTGTAAAAAATGTCTCATTTTTTAAAATAATAGACCTATGGAATTTGATTTTGCCTTAGTGGTTGGCTCTAAAGGCAGAAGTCAACCTAAGCTGGGCTGCTCACCAAGAATGCTTGCAGCACCCAAGGGCAGCTCAAAAAATTCCTGGGGTGCCCCCAGAACAAAAATGGTAAGCGGGGAAAGCGTCCCACTTGCCTCCCTGTCTCTGCCTTCTCCAATTGCTAAGTTCATGTTCCTGCTGGGTTTTCCAAGGTCTTAACTCAAATGGGCATATTACACATCAATTTAACTTCCTTCTGCCAATATTACTCTTAACTGGCACAACTAAATGGGAGGTAATTGTGCCATTAGAGTAAAACAGATTTAGCATAAAATTAAATAGGTTAAATAGAACTAACTGTTTAGCTTTTCCCACAAAAAAATTGAGAAGCTTTATTTACATAGAAAAAGAACCTAGATTATTTCCAGTGACATTTTTGTGTTTATATTTTGGCTTTTCCATTATCTCTGAATTTACCAAGTGTCACACAAAATTGCACAGGAAAACTGCTTTTCTTTTACAATGCATCTTATGAAGGAACAGTCTGAAATTCTACAGTGAAGCTTTTTTTAAAATCAGTAAGGGAGAGATGAATTGCTCAGTAAATAGTATTGGGACTAAGTGGTTGGCAAAAATAAAATTGTAACTTTACCTGTTTCATGAATTATACACAGAAGAATAAACAAGATTTAAACATTCAAAAATGCATAAAAATATGCAAACCCCGGCTATACTCTACCCCAGCTCCTTTCTCTTCTATGGTCTCAAACTATCTAAACTAGAAAGTCCCTTCCTCTCTGTCATGCCTGCTTCTTTAAGTATCCTGTTCAACAGGACATGGTCACTGGCTCTTGATGGTCACATATATTCAATTTCTGTAACAAAGTAACCCTTAGGAGGTACCTAGAATAGTCAAATTCACAGACATGGAAAGTAGAATGGTTATCAGGGATTGGTGGGAGTGGGGAAGGGAGAGTTATTGCTTAGTGGTACAGTTTCAGTTTGGGATGATGAAAAAGTTCTGGAGACGGATGGTGGTGATAGTGGCACAACCGTGTGAACAGACTTAATGTCACTGAGCTGTACACTTAAAAATAGTTAAATGTAAATTTCCTGTTAGGTATATTTTACTACAATTTTTAAAAATATAACTTACTGTTGTTTTACCTATTCTAAGATGTATATTTTTTTCACATTTTGACAATGTAAAATTAATGTTATAATTTCTTTTTAGTAGTGCATAATATAATGGTACAGTCTTATAATCATTAGATTCTTAGATTCAATGAAATACAATATATTTAACAAGTCTCCAATTAAGCCCTATAATATATATTAATAATAGCTACCATTTTTTGAGTACTTACTATGCACCAAGTACTAGGTTAGGTACATTATCACAGTAATTGTCGGCTCTGTGACATAGACACTATTATTATACCCTTTAATAGATGAGAAAACTGGGTTAGAGAGGTTACAGAGCAGGGAAGCAGAACCTAATCTTGAACCCAGGTTTGTGTGACTAGATCCACGTACTTCATCACTATCTAGTTAATTTTTAATTGTAAATAACCAATTATAATTCTGGCAGCCATAACTCTAGTTATCTATAATAGAATATAACTAATAACCATAATATCTGGTAAATTTGGAAACGGTACTAATCCATTTATTAGAGCAATACTTAACTCTTTCTTGCTTTGGACCACATGTGTAAATCTGGCACAAGAGACAGCCCTGAACCGAATGGACGGCAAGAATCCTGGTGCATTCTAAATAGCAACAATTGCCCTTCAGTTAATGCCCTGTAACACAGCAGCTGACCACAAGGCTTGAAATACATCACTCTATAGCTAATAGAAATCCTTCTAAAAATTAAAATTATACCCCAAAGCAGTAATGCAGAGACTCAACTTCTGATAATCTTCTGTTTTATGCCACCTACAAATCAAACCATTCCAGAAAGATGAGTCAACATCGTCATTCTTAGACTCTTTAGCTCTATGCTAGCTTCATATCACTGGCTCTGATCTAAGAAGGAAATATTAACAGGGTATTTCAAAGCAGACTTTACAGCTCCTCGGTTACTAGGACTCACACCTATCAATTTTTATTATCATTATAATGGTAAATGAGGCCAGGCAAGGCAGCTCACACTTGTAATTCTAGCACTTTGGGAGGCCAAGGCAGGAGGGATGGCTTGAGGTAAAGGGTTTGAGACCAGCCTGAGCAACACAGCAAGACCCCATCTCTACAAAAAAATAGAAAAATTAGCTGGGCATGATTGTGTGCACCTGTAGTCCCAGATACATGGGAGGCTGAGGCAGGAGGAACACTTGAGCCCAGGAGTTTAAAGTTGCGGTGAGCTACGATCATGCCACTGCCCTCATGCCTGGGCAACAAAATGAGACCCTATCTCCAAAAAACAAAACAAAATAAAATAAAATAGTAAGTAAGCCATTGGCAGAGAAAAATTAGCTAACAGAAAATGGAGTATAAAAGCAACAAAAACTCAGCTTCTACCAGTAAGTGCTTTCTTAACAACTACCAAGAATATATTAGAAGAGTCATTCCCATAATTATGATTTCTTGTTGGCAAAAAATGGACAGAATTAGGCTGAAAAAATTACAACTAATATCTTTCAATAATGCTAACAATTAAGTATTGTGTAACAAATTTTTGTCAAAGGAAAATATTGTTAGCAATAGTATAGGTACACAGAACTAATATATATATACTGACAAAAATTGTAGTGGTAAAGGTTAGGTGTGGTGGCTCACGCCTGTAATCTCAGTACTTTGGGAGGCTGAGGAGGGAGGATCACTTGAAGTCAGGAGGTCAAGACCAGCCTAAGCAACATAGACCCAATCTCTATCAAAAATTAAAAAAATTAGCCGGCTGCAGTGGCACATGCCCATAGTCCCAGCTACCTGGGAGGCTAAGGCAGGAGGATCGCTTGAGCCCAGGAGTTTGAGGTTGTAGTGAGCTATGATCACACCACTGCCCTCATGCTCAAGCACCAGAGACTCTGTGTCCAAAAAAAAAAAACAAAGGTAAATATTATGGAAAATTTAAAATCATCCAGTTCAAAATTGTATGAAGCATAAACTATGTTTGAAGTTCTACTTTTCACACTTTGAAAATGCTATATCTTTATTTAATGTGGTAATTGTACCATAAGACAATTTCAACGCACGTTTTGGAATTCCTGTCTATTTCTGGGCTGTTCTTAGTCAACTTATTTTACTGGCTGCCTAACACACAGTTCCTTTATTTTCACAATATAGAATTAGAAACCATTGCTGTGAAATATAGTGTAAGGTAGTAATCACTATAACAAAGCCATTTCCATGATGGAGCAAGTAACAATGTATCATCGATCTGGTTACAATGAAATTCAATAGCAAATAATCCTGAAGAGCAAAATCTTCTCATCCCTCTGTACTTTAACAGACATTGAAGAAAGGGAAGGGCCAGTGGAACTGTGTTTTGAGATAAAGAAGTTTTTTCCATAGCCCTATATTTCTGACCCCCAAGTAATAATTATCTTTCAACCCTTTCACCTCCATCTTTATCACAAACACTTTTGTCCCTGAAACACAAAATGTCCAAAGCAACCATTCAATTAAACACAACATAAAAAACATAACAAACCTGGCAAAAGGTGACACGAATTGGGCACAATCACTTCTCCCTTGTCTCTACTGCACCCAAAGATTTCATAAAGCATTGCTTTTGTCTTAGCTCCCCTTTCTAAAAGCTGAAAATATGATAACCAATGCACTCATTTTAACAAAAGTTTACTGCTGTGAAACAAATGTGATGCTCCAATTTAGAACATTACCTGATAGGCTCCAGTATTCCCTCTCCAATTTAAAGTGTCAAATTACTATAATTTGCGTAAGTAAAAAAAAAAACCTAGTGGGTTCCATTTCTGGAAAGAGCACGGTAATGGCTTCATCTAAATCTTCCCATTTCTAAAAACCATACAGAGCAATAAGAACGAATACCCACCCAATACACACATGCACACACAAACATATCCCACATACAAACTACATCTTTAGGGGACATCTTACAACAAGTTCTAAATTATGTGAAAGTGAAGCCAAAAACACCACAAATCAAGAAACTACAACAGTAAAACAGAAGCAGCATGAACGATTTAAATGTAAAAACTGA